AGGGTATGAAACAGTCAGCTTTACTTGTTTTGGTTTAATAGATATAAGTTAGATATACTTTGCGTTTAATTTACAGTTTGATATTCTATATCGAATATTGCAATATTGATATACTGCTGTAGTACCATTGTACAGAATTAATGGTCAGAGACGTCATGAACATAACATAAACATATTTTTGATCAATCGAGGATTTATCCATACGTTGTTTATCTCTCTATCTATCTATGCGACTATTTCACTCTTTCTTTCTCACTCCGCTGTTCGACTGTCCGTTCGTTCGGCTATATGCCCGCCTGCTTCTTAATCTAACTATGTGTCCATTCTAGTCATTTGGCTATTTCGCAGTCCACTCCTTTTCGTTTCTTTTGCTTTTCAACCTGCCCGTTCATAGAAGTATATCTTCCTCCACGTGTATGCGTACATACACTTCTGCCGGTCTATTTATTCGCTTAGCGCTCTTGAAATCTCAGAAAGTGCTTTCTTGATAGAACCTCACTCATCTCGCTCCAAGGAACATGTGATCTGCTTTTACGAAGGTTAAAGTAGGGAAAAAACAGGAAATTGCTTTCACTATGACTAATGTACTTTTTGGTAAATTATTTGAACAAATCTACTAATACGTTTATGGGTAATGAATATTAAACATCGTTCCTTGTGCAGAAATGAAAATCAACTGAAAAATTTACGATATAAAGACAGAGGATGATTTTGTCACCGTTCATATAGAATTCTACTTTCTAATTTGGCTGGCGCTTCCGCTAAAGAAATGCTTTCTTTATTCTGGATATTACTCTGGATGTTATTTTAAAAAGCAAACATAGAAGCAAGTTTTATTCTGTTTTCTTATTCTAGTTTCCTTTCAGAAGGCTATTCCCTATCCTCCCCAAAATTTCTTATCTGCTTCATCCTTCATTTCTTTCGTAATCACACATGTTTTTGTTTACTATTCGTATAACTACTTTTGCCTGTAGAGCGAAAACTGCTTGTTTCGTATGGACGGATAGCTTCAATTCCTTTGTAGAGGATTACCTACCACCAGAATGTAATCTTAAACCGACAACAGTAATAACACTAATACTAACATTGCCATAATTAATATGCATAGGAAGAATTAATCGTGATTTCCCGCAAAGGTGGATGTACAACTGGCTTCAGAAAGTAATGAACGACATGCATAAATGAACGAAACGAAACCTCTCTTTATGTAGACGCCCTGAATTGACACAAAAAAATGATTAGATTACATAGCGACATATTCACTACTTGTAAGGTACACCGTTCCTAGGATTACCAATGCTATCAGTAGCAAAATGTGACTTAAGAATCTCACAAATTGATGCTGTTACAGCATTTTTACAGAATGAATGAGCAGAAGAAGACATCTATTCACATCGCAAATGGTCTTAAGAGAATGAAAGATCTGATATATACTTTAAAGCAGAAGGCGTAACACAGCATTGTAGAAGAATAGATTGGATATAAAAGCGCGTATACATATCTCTATAGACGTCAGAGCAAAATCGGAGATCCTAGGAACACTACAAAAAGACGAATAAATCAATAAATAAATAGGCTTAACAAAGGCACTTCACATGAACTTATTTGATGGATGAAACTCGTCTTGACCAACTTCAACATTCTTATATCTGCATAAGAAGCTTCGCATGTGTAATGAACATTCAATGATTGCAAATAATTTTCCATTGGAAGTCTGATGTGTCTGGCGCAGTGCAAAATTCTCGATATCATTCATGGAGGCCGTCTCCTAAGCAGATTCAACAACATCCCAACAGAGTTTCGCTATCCTCAAGATACGAAGAATGCAAAATTCCTATACAAGGGAATAAAAGAGATGGACCAGAGAGTTCAAAGTCAAGGGGAAAAGTCAATTAGTTATTTGTTACATAGTCATACCACAATCTGGAACTATGTCTCGTTGAAGTAAAAGGCAATAACGGTTAGCACTTTCTTCTAATGAAACAGAGTATAAGGCCCTCTCAAGGCACGAGAAATAACTTACATTGAACGGCTTTAGGTGGAACTCATTCCGATAGCACAAATAGAAAATGTCATAGTATCCTTAAAGAAATTTTACCTTCAAGCGAATCGAGAGAAAACACACAGATATTCGGCATCATTTCATATACATTACTAGAGTAAAAGTAAGAGAAAGATGTCGAGCTACTCTTACTTTTTATGACACACAATGCGTTTATGTAATAATTAAATTTATTGTTACTACAGATACAGATTTTTTATAAGGCATTTATATCTTTTTATAAAGATCTTTTTTTTCCATATTTAATCGATGTTACCTAACAAGGTGATAAGGTTTTCTTTCCACCGCAATATATACAACGAGATCAAATCGATGAAAAGCAAAAACCTGTTCAATAACATAAATGCAGCGATTACTGAATGGAAAGTGAAAGTTACCAAAAACAAACAAAAAAAAAAAAACTAAAAAACAAAAAAAAAAAAGTATCAAAATAAAAAACCAAAAAGTATTACGAAATCATTGCTTAGAATCAGATAACTTACCCTGAATATGTGACAAGTGAAAACGGATAACTGTAAATAAGTGAACCATAAATATTTGGATAAATTAAAAAAACAAACAAAATAAGATAAAGAAAGAAGAGATAAAAACTATTTCAGTTTGAGTAGCCGAAGGTTTAAAAATGAATGTATGATAGCTGCGTCTTGGCACAAGTTCTTCCTTTTTGTCTTCATACTCTACGGATCCTATGGTGCAAATGTATATTAAGTTTCGCGAATGCATGCAACGCCCAGAAGGACTTGAGGGTGAACCATTTTTTATTGTAGCAATCTATTCAGAAAATGAATCTGCTTGTCTAAGCTGGTCTGTCCGTCTGTCCATTTGTCCGCGTTGCATTCAAACGACAGATTGTAATTTCTGGCCCAGGGCTTAGGCCACTGCCCACATCATATCCTATTTTGAAATGTTGTTACACGATTAACTGTGTTAAGCGAAGTGGTGTAGAGTATGTAATGATGGGCCCGCAGCTCACGCAGTGTTTTCATTTGTCTTTTGGTCTTTTAATAGATATTCAAGAAATAATATGAATGACCTGAGAGAACTGCTTTAATTGCAATTGAACCCAAATCATTGTAGTGTTGTTAGCGTTCCTTCTTCTTGCGATAATTCAATTTGCGATGCTTATCACCAGACGCGAACAGGTAAACAAATTGTGGAGATGATGAAACAATATCTTTCCAAAACTGTGGAGGATCAGCAGAAAATACATTGGGTGGGAATCTATTATAAGGAATTGATTCGAGTACTCGAAATTATCACAATATGTTTGTCAATTAGCTGCGCCTAGTACTGCGTCGATCCATACCTTACCCTTTTAATAGATCATTTCGAACGTCGTCCAGCTTCATTCATTATCATTCAGTGTCAATTGCCATTTCCGTTGTGGTATCCTTTCGCAGTAAACAATCCCATCAGGTTCGCACTTCTATTTTGCTGTCAATGGTATGGTTCTGCCTCTTGTGGATTCCATCCAGAGGCTCTACTAATTGGATTCACAATGTTGATAAAAATGTGAACACGTGGACACTTCACTTGAAATTATATATAAATGAAACAAAGAGATCACGTGCACTATACATGTTCTCAATCTGTAAGAGATTACGAACCATACCTTCCTGTGGGTGCGTTTGTAGATCATCTGCTATTATATGAGATGCTTAAGTAAGAACTTATCCTTTAAACGTCACAGCCAATGCCCAACGATCGGATGTCGCCTTCTCCTACTCTGCTCCTAAGACATGCGGACAAGCGGAAGGCACTTTTTCTTAAAAAACGAGAAACGTTAGAGAAAAACACTGTTTTTTTAAAAGCGAACAAAGGCGACGGGAAAAATATGAACTAAGCCAAAACTAAATATACAATATAAAGATAATGAAATGGAACTGGAACTTACACCCACTAATAACATAACATATTTTATCTAAAGTCTTTTTGCGGTCATTCATCGGCGTTGGGGAGGAGGGTCTTCTGGATACCCTTTACCGGACAATAGATGTTAAAATCGTAAACTAAATTCACGCTTTCACTGCACCACTGTGACACTAATTAAAAGAATTATACGCAACAACAAGAACGTTTTGCAACATATGTTAAGCATTTAGTGTAAGTGCTTGAGAACACTATTCACTTAATAACATGAAAGCATTTGTTATTTTCTCACATTGCATATAATAATCCAACGCTAAATTGACCACGGCTTCAGTTCATTTTTGTCTGTCTTACAAGTTGTTGTGTTCTAACGAAGAGAAGTGTTCAACAAACCGAAATGGGAAGGCCTACTAGGGCAAGACTTATAGATATAATGAGCTTCTTCTGGGTGCCTATGAGATTGTTTATGGCGTATGGGATGCAGTTGTATCCAATGTGACCGGACGAACGTGTTTCGCTGCTTCAGAATCTTGCCTTTTGCAATTTAGCGGGTCATATAGCTGTTCATATATTTTTGGCGCCAATGTATCAGATAAAGCATCCGCCCGTTTTAGTAAAAGAGTTTACAGACACTGTAGTATTGTTAGTGTTCTTTTTCCTCGCGATAATTCGATTTACGATGGTTGTCACGAAACGCGAGCAGGTAAAACAAATAATAGAGATGATGAAACGTTATTTTCCCGAAACTATCGAGGATCAGAAAATGTATGGAGTGCGAATCTACTATGAAGAATTGATTCGAGTACTCAAAATTTTCACAATATGTTTGTCGGTTAGCTGCGCCTTATACTGCGTCGATCCATACGTTACCCTTTTAGTAGATCATTTGAAAGGTCGCCCAGTCTCATTTGAATATCAATTGCCGTTTCCGTTGTGGTATCCTTTCGCAGTGAACAATCCCTTCAGGTTCGCACTTGTGTATTGCAGTCAAGTGTATGGTTCGGCGTCATGTGGAATCGGATTTTTTTGCCCCGAGGTTCTACTGATTGGATTCACAATGTTAATAAATATGAATTTCAAGCACTTAGCAAACCGTATTCGTAACTTAAAGCCATCAAATGCGGAAGACGATATCAGGAACCTGAACAAATTGCTGAGCTATCACCAGGACATGTTATTGTGCGTGAATCCGAAAGCATTCATATGCATAAAAAGATGCAAGAAAAATATATATATAATGAATAAATGTTAAATATGTTGTTGTTGTCGAAATCTATATTTTGATATTATTTCGATATTCGTTGCACATAAGATTATCTGATTTCTTTGCAGTTCCGTTGACATTGTGAATGAAATTTTTTCGTTTTCGCTGCTGATCAATTTCTTTGCGGCGGGTGCGTTGCTCTGTCTAGCCGCCGTTAACGTGATCGCCGGTTCAAGCTTTTATGACTACATAAGGCACACTACTTTTTTACTGGTAGCTTTGGCTGATATGTATTATGTATGTAAACATGCTGATAATCTGATGACATTGGTAAGTGTATCATATGGATGAAAATTGACTAAATAAATGCAGTATCAAGGTCAGTCTCAGTCTATTTTAACATTCGTAACACTATCGGAAGTTCGGCGAAAAATTTATGTATCCGTGGCTTTTAAGGCGTACTAATCGTAAAATCTTAAGCAGCTGAATGTGGAATCAGATATGACAAATTATTTTTTGTAAAAATATTTAAATTCGATAGCAACTTGATGACAAGACTGTGAAAGATATTGACAATGAAATTTTCAATATTAATAATACAGATACAGGCCAGTCAGTATGCTCACAATCAAATTATTCAGTCTCACTTTCAACTAGAAAATGAGCTAAAGACATTGTTTAATTTTTCCAGCCCCTTTTTCAACCCTAGATACTGCTAAATACGTGAGACATTCGTTTATTTCTCTCTTATCTCGTTATGTTTATCATTTTCTCTCTCTCGCTTTCATTTGTATATAGAGCACCGATATTAGTGACGCGTTCGCCGAGCATCCTTGGTACAATGGCAGCATATATTATCAACGCATGCTAGTATTTCCTATAGCCAGGGCGCAGCGGCCGGCCGCACTGTATGCATATAAATTTTTTGTTGTCTCAATGGAAAGTTTCCAATCTGTAAATAGCAATTGCATACATAACTTCTATTCAGTATCAATCACAACAATCTTATTACCTTATTGCAGTTACTGACATCGTCATATCAATTTTTCACATTGATTAAAGCCCGCTTTGACGAAGAATAAGTGAAATCACGATACGTTTATTACTTATAATAGAATTTTAGATTTTATTCGCGCACAGCAAAGGAAAAAAGAAGAAGAAGAAGAAGAAGAGTAAACTTCACTTATATTTGCAGCACGCTTCAAATTGTAATAAAACAGTACACGAGATGTGCAAACATATCTGAAAGCAAAGAGCTTTATTTAAAGGGTTTCCAATGTGTGTGTCAGGGCCCCAATAACTTGTTCAATCAAAGTTTGTGCAACGATCTGCTTTTGATTCAGTACAGTACCACTCTCTGCTAACATGATAACGGCTTGAGTAATATTTTGTTAATTTTTTTTATATACACCAAACCACTTTTGTGATCTATGACACCTGTCCATCGCTTAACTTTCCTCACAGAGATAACTACGACCTATTTCAATGTATTGCACTTAAGCAAAAGCGGTCAGACAAACCCGTCAGTTGCATTTAGTTTCGTTTCCGCTTTGCCTTTCTAGACAAGCCACTATAAAAAGAGATCTTGATTCAAATTTTGATTCACGCATACAGACATGATTGTCGAATATCGTGTGAACGTTACCTTCTTTTTCTAATTCTGCCCTATCAAGGAGTGAAATCAGAAATCCTCTATATATAGATGGATCGATAAAAAAGGACACTGTAAGGAAATCTCGACAATTTGCTTTTGCTTATTTTAATTATCCGGCTCGTTCAAGGAGGAAAACTCTCTCTCTCTCTCTTTCTCTCTCTCTCTCTATCTCTCTCGCTCTCTCTTAAGATGGAATAGAGGATGTCATGCTCACTCCCTTTCTCTCTGTCAGTATTTTTGAGAGAGTGCTGCATTCATTGCACGAATCATCTCATGTAACCAGGCACTGGAGTCTCTATCGAACAAGCATCAAAATCTAATTTACGTACATCTAAACTATCGGAAGATTTGACTGCGTCATAAACGTTTTACGAAGCGTTCTAATAGACTTGTACAAGCAACGCAAAATGCGGCGCGATGTAAAAACGCCAAGTTCAAGGAAATCGAATGTTGGCTTCATCAATTTCTGTTGCATGTACTAAAATTCGCTACCAGCCAAATGCCTCTTGTTGCATATGCCTGTCACGGAATAGCGGCTGAATCCCTTACTAGAAATTATTATTACAAATGAAACAAAGAGATCATGTGCACTGTATATGTTCTCGATTTGCAAGAGATACCGAATATGTTTTACCATACCTTCCTATGGGTCCATTTGTACACCATCTGCTGTTTTATGAGATGCTTAAATAAGAACGTTTCCTTTAAACGTCATGCCGTCAATGGCTTTTTTTTAGAATTCCGTCAAAATTGATATTCGTATTCAGTATTGTTCACCAAATCATGAAATCATCAATGAAACAAATTTTAGGATCCTCATAATCCCCATAATGCACCTCGCTTACAATTCGTATTGTAAGTGAAATAATTGAATCAAAAAAACTTGTGGGGTTAGGGATCCAAATTGTCAAAAGAGTGGACGTATTGCTAAGAGAATCGATGCTGCGATTCTGCACATAGATGAACCACCGCTGCGTTGCAGTTACCATCAATGAGGATCGTTGCAGAAATTTGATTGATTAATCATTTCTGATGGCATCAGTTAGATAATTTCGAGACATATATCTTGTAAAATAATCAATATATTGTGAACTACAATGTGAAGTACAAAAATGGCGAAATGAATTAATTGATCAAGAAAATCAGGCGATATAACTCCATTGGACTTTTCTCTTTGCCTCATGGCTCATGCAAAGCTTAGTAAGATAACAAGTAATTGACATTTCTTGCATATTCAGACGTATCACCCCTCAGCACAACACCTCTAACTAAGAGGCCTATGCAAAAGAGAATAACCAGGATAACAGAGATAAATGACGTATTATTTGCACAGATAGCGAAAAAATAAATTTGATTGGAAGTTAAGAGGTCGGGTAATTGCTTCTGACAGAGTGCCCAAAATACGATAATATGACGAAATTTTGTTACCAAAAAAATGAAACGTAAACAAATACGCAAGAAAAAATGAAATAAATATGACACACTTTGGATGGCTTAGATTGCAACATGTCAGTAATTGAAAGAGTTGCGGAGAGATGGACAAATTGAAATTGATCAGGCGATGGCCAAGCAAACACACCGTAAGAATATGCGAACTAAACATATGTTGGATAAAATATATATATATATATATATATATATGTGATAGATCAAGTGTAAGCCAGGAGTTATACTAAATCACTGAGATACTCGAATAAAGCAAACACTTTCAATGCCATTGTTTTTCGAAATTATTTCCGCTATAGGCGCAATGTGTACATTTTTATAGAAAAGCGACTAATGGCTAACGATGTTCGAGAAAAAAAAAAAATCCTCGTAAAAATTTGTAATTCACTCTCACGGATTTAAGATCCGAAAATCAGCGTCATCTGCTATCAAATATTTGATTGATTAGTAAATCAAAATCAAATCTTTTGAATTTTCTATTCCGGGTAGCATCCGACACTTCCGACACCAAGGCCAACCACTTTCCGATTGTTTTTAATGCTTTATTGTTGTTGCTTCATTGATTTTTAATTATTATTATCATATATTTTCCTCTCTCCTATCCCTCAAGCTCTTGCTTTCCCACAAACAATAAATAAGATACCTATTGCAATAGGTCTCACCCTTTATTTTTCCGTCCTTTCAAATAATCGCGTATTTTTCCTTTTGATTTATTATTAATGCGTAGCAAATGCGCTGTGTGCCACATCTTTCCATTTACTCATGCCAGTATGTACGTAATTCCATGAGAACCTTTTCTTTCGCACATCTGATCTCAAATACATTAGCAATACATTACGTTACAGTGAAAGTAACCAAAGGAGATTTCAAACGGTTTTATGATAACTAATGAATTAAAATTTTAGAGGAAGAGCCCAATGAAATTCTCTCTAAATAAATATTTTTCGTTTTCGGCGATTTCGATATTGAAAGTTCCGAGAGCGTTTAAATAGATGAATTAAGATTATGGCGGGCTTCGCTAGGTATAATTAAAATTCGAACACTATTAAACCATTAAGAAATTCGTTCACGATTTGCCAAAGAAGGTAAAAGAGAATGAATCTACAACGCAGCACACAACACGCAACATACAACACTTTACATCTGTTCTGCCATATAGCGGAGCAAATGAGACTTGATCGTAGCCATAGCAAGTGCTCAAAGGGCATAACATTAACTGCGAACACAACCAACTAGGCTGTGCCTGCTCCCTATCTATTTCCCTTCTCTTAGGTTTGCCTGCTAAGTCTATTAAGGTAAAGGCGAATGGTTTTTCTCATTGTCTAACAGGACACCATTTTAGTTCATGCTGGGAAGGATGAGGTTTGTACATGTTAGGCAACGTATAAAACTGCAGACTTGTACTGCAGGCCGCTTGTGGATAACCTCGTCAGGGAACGGGAGCATAGTTTGGTAAAGACTTTTTAGTATATGTCAAATGTGTTTCACTTACTAAGATTGTTGTTGTTGTTGGTGGTGTTGTTGGTGTTGTTATTGTTTATTAAGCTGTCAGTTTATTTGGTATCTAATTATGCCGCGTTGGACAAACGTTAGCAACGGCTGAATTGACGTCGTCTAAGTTATTAACGCTTTGTCTTTGTTGAGACTGGAAGGAAATCGCAATCTGTGCTGATGCCAACAACTAATTATCAACGCCGATGAAGAACGCAAATAAAGTGAATCATCAGATCTTCAGCAATAGGACAATGACAATTCGCACACATTTCTAAACAGTCGTCGGAGATGGCGAGAGTAGGGCTGAGAAGCATTAAAATATTTTCCTTATAATTTGGACTTTGTTCGGCCCGAGTGGTTTAACATATTTATTTTGCTCTCCTTACAGTGTAAAGTAGCTTTCAAAGGTAACTTGTGAAAATGATTTGGTTCATTTTTTCACCTAGGAATCCTGCAATGATGGAATAGGAATAGGTTTACCAGAAGAATGGCAAAAAATTGTCTATCAAGACCGCGGCTACTTACTGTCATAAATTTAACTTGGAGTTTAAGAAAACCGTGTTTGAATTTTAGTACGAAAACCTCGTGAACTTTCATACATACGTACATATCTTAGTTGGGCGAAGAAATGCCTATTCTCGTAGAAGAACACAGTCTACTATGACGCGGGTGCAAAAAATGGAAATTTCTGCAATAAAATAATGGTGAGTGTACCGAAGAATTCGGTTTAATTCGGTGAACATAATTTATTTATTTATTTTTATTTATTTATTTTTTTTTCTTTTTACATCATGGAGTCATTGTCTTTAAATGAAAACTTTAGAAAAAATTATCCACACCTGAACAGTTACGGTATGCACCAGAAGAATTTTATATACAAAATATATTTATTTATGTTTGTAAAATTCATGCAACCCACATAAATAAACGCAAGAAACACTCCTCAAAAATAATATAAATATATATATATATATATATATGTATGTAAAAAAGTAAGAAATGCGTGTACGTAATACTGCTAGAGCTTGTGTTGAGACACACAAGTAGGCAGCAACAATTCTAGGTAAGGAAGAGTGTTATCAGTCGTATGACGCAGACATAGCCAAGATTTTATTCCAGATTCTTAATCGTTTCGAGAATAATTTTAAGCAATGTCTTACGAGAGGCTTTCGATTATTCGAATATTTTAAGCAAATTATAATCAATGCCGATGAGATGCAAACATTTTTATAAAATGCAAAAAAAAAAGTTTTTCTCAGCAAATTTTTTTCTTATTTTTAATTAAAGAGAATATTAAATTACATTAAAATAAATAAATGACTATCATTAAGGCTTAATACGATATATATCTATCTGCATAACGGTCTTAATTGAATTGTCACCAGAAAATGAAAATGAAATTTATTACCTTGTTGTTATGTCAGGCGTGAAATAAACATCCAACGGTAAAAAAAAAATAAATAAATAATAATAATAATAATAATAATA